TAACCTAGCCCAAACCCAAACTTTGATCACTTGAACCCACATTGAACCTATGCATTAAAGATGGCCTAACTACCCCAAAGTCACCAAATTAACTCCACCTCAGCCATTGGTTAGACCCTAAGACTGAGCCAAAGCCCATCTAACCATCTAAACTAAGCCATGGACCAAAAGTCCCCCAAATTAAGGGATTTTATTCCCAAAAATGTACATGCTTAAGATACCCTTACTAAAACAAAGCCTAAAATTATTAAATTGTTGCGACATATTCCCCTGGGTTCCCTTAGCTCCTAGACACCTCCCCCTGGCCGGTCGGCCAGCCTCGCCGCCGGAAAATGGCCAAACCGCGCGCCAAACCGAGAGCCACCCCCATGGGATTAAACCCAATTCAAACCTAGATGCCACATCATCCAAATTAAAGCTTAGAATTTCTCTACCCTCCACCTAGGCAGCACATTTCACCCCCCAATTGGCCATGGCAGCAAGCCTAAGGCCATTTTTATAAAATGCTCCCCTCCACGGCCATGAAGGGAGAGCTGAAAATGGGCCATGACAGCAAGCCTAAAGCCATTTTTATAAAATGCTCCCCTCCACGGCCATGAAGGGAGAGCTGAAAATTACTCTAAGAGACTTCCCCAAATTGATCCCAAAGCCTCTTTGAGACCTCCTCAGTGTAACCCAACCACCACATTGCCCTGAATCCCCTTGCCGGAGCCCAATTCTTGAGCTCAAAACCTTGCCGGAGACCGGACAAAACTCTCCACACCCCCACAGTCCACTAAACTCTAATTAAACTCACTCACACCTTCACAACAGTGAAAGGAGCTAAAGCCCCATCAAATTACCCTCTCACAGAGCCTCTACCATAGCTCTAGACCAACATCCAAATCCGGTCGTGATCGAAACTATATTCAGGCCTCACACCAAGACCAGAGACTCAATCCCTAGCCTCTTTGGATCACAACGAACGTGCCAAGACCCTCTGATCGAAGCTTCACTTCTCAGAGCAAAGGTATAAAACTTCTCTCCCTCCCGAGCCTATTTTGATTCTCCATTCGATTAAGCTTAATTTAATTGCATGATTACCGTATGGATGTGTTCGTCTCACTTAGACGAGTCCATAAGATCAAACCCGAAGTGATTTGGTTGAGTCTAGGCCGAGATCTTAAGGTTTTAGTGCGGACGATCACGGGATCACTCTATCAGGGACGACGACGGGGAACCGTTTGATTAAGCGTATCGAATAGGCGGAGGAGATCGAGCCGGACAGCGCTTCGAAACATAAACCGCGAGCCGAGTCAGCAGCTACGTGGATGGCGGCGCGTCCAATCAGAGTGCGCCACGTGTGCCTTCGGAGCTGCCTAAGATCTAGTCAGCACGCGCTGTTTAAATAAATAAATAGAGATTTTTCCTATTTATTTAAATACCCCTAACTTAAAAAATTCATATCTTGGTGTAGAAAAATCACAAAAATAAAATAAAAATACCCTCTTGCTTAGTGAATAAAGGAGAATAATGTGGAAATAATGTTTAAATAAATAAATAGAGATTTTTCCTATTTATTTAAATACCCCTAACTTAAAAAATTCATATCTTGGTGTAGAAAAATCACAAAAATAAAATAAAAATATCCTCTTGCTCAGTGAACAGAGGAGAATAATGTCGAAATAATTTTAAGTCCATATGATGCATATTTTATTTCTAATTAATTAAACATTGATTTGAATCTTTTGATTCTCCATGCATGTAGACTTATCATCATAGCTTGAATTTTTGGCATATTGTAGCCTCTGTCAAGGAGAATATTCTCTGATTTTTCTAAAGTCATGGGAGGTCCCTAGACAGAGGATCACATTTTTCAAGTTTATGAGCATTATTTGCTTAAAATAATCATGAAAATTAGCATATTGATTAGAAAATTCCAAGAAAATTTTGGAAGGTCCACCATGACCAGAGGAACTTTTGGAAATAATTTCATGGGTCAAGTCATCTATAATGCACCTAATTTTCACAAACACTACATCATTAAGATAATTGATTTTGAAAGATGTAAACATTAATATGACTTGATTTTTTATCTCCACTGTTACTTATGATCCAGAGAACTCACCATTAAAATTTCAAAATATTTTGAGTTCACTTGATAACTTAAGTTGATTTTTAAAGATAAACATCACTTTTGGCATTTAAATGATTTTTCAAAAATCAAAATATAAATAAAAAATTTATAAAAATTTATTTTTTGAGCTCTTTGTGATCAGGTGTATTTTCTAAAAATAAAATGATACTTAAAATAAAAACTTCATTTTTAGCTCATTTTAAATATGTAAAATAATTAAAAATCCATAAAAATCACAAAAATAATAAAACTCATAGAAATGTTGTAAATTGCTTCCCAATCACTTAGGAATAATTAGACGCTTCCCAAGCAGAACAATTGAAATATTTTTCCTGGTTTTCTAAATAAAGATATTGAATTTCAAAGCTTAAAAATAATTTTTAAAGGCTAAAAATAGGTTTTCTTTAAGAATAATTCCAAAAAATCAAGTAAAATTTAGAAATATTCTCCTCTGAGTTCTCTGACCTCAGGAGGACCTTTCAAAAATACAAAACTTAATTTTCCCCATTTGAAATATTTTATATTTAATAAATGTTCCAGAACTTAAAATAATTCTTAAAATTCAAATAAAATTCAAAAAATCATGAAATTGGGGCCAAAGGCCTCTCTGGTCTAGGTCTACATCCAGTAAAAAATTCAAGGAATTGGGATTTACCTTGGTCAAGTTAGGAATTTTATTTGGAAAATCTTATTTTTACATGAAAATAATTATATAAATTAAATTAAATTTTGAAAAATCATATTTTCTCCTCTGATGTCTTAATTGGCCAATGAATGAGGTAGGATAAAAATTTCAAAGTCATTTGAATTGAATTTGACAAATTATGAAGTGCTAGAGCCTTAGGGGCAAATATGTAATTTTGAAAATTTAGTCTTAATTAAAATTTAGGCTTAATTCAAGGAGAGAAATGGGTAACCTCTGATCTTAATTTGGATGTTTGAAACACAAGGGGTTAATTGGTAGAAACCACCCTCACTTTCCCAATTGAAAAATATAAGTTAATAAATTTCTAAATTATTAAAATTTGGAAGTTTATTAAAATAAAATGAACCTAGGGCTTAGGGATATGACTTTTGAAGTCAAAAATTAATCGATTTAATACCCCTATTTTGATTTTCAAAATAAAATTCAAATCATGAATTATGACCACCTAAAGTTTAACATTTTCAAAACTAACTGAGACACTCGCCTAGGTTTTAAGGGCTTAGTAGTCGCTATGCTAAATGATGAATTATTAAGCAACATAATAAGTTTTACAGGATGAATTACAACTCTCTCTCTCTCTCTCTCTCTCTCTCTATCTATAGACTTTTTGCACTTTTATAATAATTATAAGCCTGAACCATTTAATTTATGTTACTCTTCAAAAGAACATTTCACGTATCTTACACATCCTTTTTTTAGTTCAATAATAGCAAGCCCTATTAAATAAACCAACAAATAATTTAGCTTTTGCTCTGCTAACTACTCAATTCAACAGTTAACATAAAAAATGATGGCACAACAGCATAAATATAATCATTGATATTGCATATATATACCCTCAAATATATATGACATGGGCAGAGAACAAGCTATAGATAAGTCTTTCTACAAAGAGTTGTGCATGAAAGGCTCCACTGATATGCAAGAAACCTAACGAAATTTGATAAAGAAAATAATTATAAATAAAAGAAACAATCACCTTCTTAAGTTCAGCCTTAGGTGGGGGGCCCTCATGGTAAAAGTTTGGCATTGGTGTAGCTTTGAAATTCATGTTCCTCCTAAGCTGTTTCAAAGCTGCCTCTTGCTCCTCCTGGAAATTTGTAAGCCATAAAAATTAATGAAAGAACAAAACCGTAGAAAAATCTTTTGTAGCTGGATCATTTGCAGGACACTTAACCAATAATGTAGCAAAAAATTATGATGAACTGTTTATGCAAAATAGTAAACCCACCTTAAAGGGACAACAACAAAAGTTACATCAAAAAGTTTCCAGCTTTACTCAAGAGTTATCTTACCAAAGGAATAAGTGTGCCGTCAAAAAGAGGAAAAAATGAAAAGAACAGTATTCTATTTTAATTTCATTTATTAAACTGGCTAAAAATATACAACCTGCTGTTACCCTGTTACTACCAAAATAATTACCGCAAAAACAAGGTACCCTGAGTAAAAATAGAAGATATTTGACACCATTCCTCCCAAAAACTGAAGAAAATATAAGAACAAACTAGCACAAGAGAAAAAAAAAGGAGTTTTGCAATAAAGTAACCAAATAGCAAAAGATTTGTGATGCATATCTTCTAAAAGGGTAAAAAACAGACAAAACGAAGGTAAATTAGAAACAACAAATATTATTTTCAGAATTTATAATTTCATGAGTTTTAAATTGTATAAAATTTGAGATAGATGTGTTCCAACACAGGAAATCAGGAAGCACCCACCCCACTCCCTCTCACCACCACCCACCTCCTAACACTTTCCAAGTTTTTCGAGCGTGACCATGCTCTGAAGAGTGTACAGGGTTTGGAGAGTAACTTTTATCATTTACTAGGAATTACTCCAACCTAGGATTTCCTTCTCCTAGCTTGTAGAATATATAGGAACATCACTTTTCCTGCATAAAAATCTGAAATGCAAGAAGATTTAGCAAAGCACAACTAACAAATTTCAGCTATTATAAAAATAAGGGTCTATCATACTTACCTCAAATGTAGATATTCAATATCACATATGTTCCCAACAATGGAATTTGCATAAGCTATTACTAGGTATTACATTACATATTAACCCCAACTTGATTTTTTAAATTGCTCGTCTTCCAATTATTAAATATTGTAATTCATGTTAACATCGATCCTTTCAGAACTCCAAGAACGAGAGGCAAGCATAATTTCCTAAAACACTTGAGAGAAATGTGTGATATATGTACATAATAATTTCCTAAAACACATGAGAGATATGTGTGATATATGAACATAAGTGGTAAACATAATTAACCCTAAAAAGAAAATTGACAAAAAAAAAAATTATCATGACTGATTCTCACCATAATCACAAGATTCCAACATTAAAACCTAGGACAAGCAGAGGCATATCTTAGAGAGGATATGGCAAACTTTATATTACTCGTGATATAATGTAATGCTCAAAAAATGTTAAATTTTATAAGGATATGCTCCCTTAGGTTTGAGAAGCACTTTTCTGTTACTCCTGCCTCCGATACCAAAACTTTGCTCCAACAGTGAGGGAGGAAGCACAACGTCAAACTTAGGTCCATTTGGGAGCGCTTCCATTCCGCGTCGCGGGTTTGGGACTCGAAAATTCGCCATTTGGGACAGCGGCCGGCGGCTACGCCCAGCATTTTTTAATTGAACGCGGGTCGCAGGTTCGACCCTGTGGGCCGCGTTCGAGGATAGCATTTTTACGTGTTACCCCGTCTTCTTTGATTCCGCAGAGAGGCACGAGCGGGAAAGTCAAAGAAGATGGCGCTGGGGCTCTCTCTCGTAACCTTCCTCCCATCCTCTTTAACCCTCCCCCATTCTACCTTTCAACTTCGTTTTCAAACAGAAAAGAAGAATGTGAATGGCAGCGATGGCGGCGGCGGCGGCGGCGGCGGCGGCGGCAATGGTAGGCTCGGTGTCGCCGTTCCCTTTCCACTACTTTCTCTAAAACTACCAGCAAGCATGAGTGAATCTATGCGAGAAGGGGATCGACCCTTCGCATCGGATGGCACAGGTCTCCCACGCTTTCAAGATCATGCAGATCTTCTCCCTTCTCTATGTTGCTCAAATCTCTTGGCGTCCATGGTATTGCTTCGTTCACTTTGCTGCTAGACAGTACCTCAACTTCAAGTAAGCAGCTTCAACTTGTTGTGTTCTGACAAAATTTTATTAAGGGGTTTGAAAACAGAGATTTAGGTAAGATTGGCTAATCTGGTTCATTGAATACGAATTTATTCATGCTTCTTTAGAAGGGCGTTTGGTACAACCAAGAAATGTTGAAGTTGCACTAATTTGGAAAGTAGTTATATAATTTATTACTGACCCTATTTGGAAAATGTAGATTGTTAATGCACAAACTCCATCCCATGAACTTTGCAATAATTTTCTAGATTTTATCAACTGAGGTGGCTGAAGCTCACACTTATTATTGAGCAATTTTTAATGTGTTATGTGCAATTAAAGGTTGGTAAATGAAATATAATAGTTTGAAAGATTATTGACATCCTCGAGATTTGAAACTTTTATTTCATGTAAATTGCCCAAAAAATTTATGCACTTATATTCTACTTTTTAGAACATCTATATGACTGTTTATCTTTCTATGAACTGTTGGCTGTGACTGTCACAGTTCTATTTTAAACAACTTTACTAAACAGAGGGCAGAATGATCATTTTTTCCAAAAACAGCTGTCCCACAGTTATTTTCACACAACTGCAACAAACAGACAGTCAGCTTCCCCGCAGCAGCTTCTTGGGGCAGGCAGCGCAGCTACAGCTGGCAGCCGCCCCAAATAGACCCTTAAAGTTGAGTGGCAGCACATAGAATAAATATAGCAGTAGTAAAAACCAAAAATGGCATTATGGTAGTGCATAGATGTCTTTATATGCCCTTCAATGCACAAGCACATAGAATGCACAAAACCTGAATGTAAAACAGATGAGCACCATCACATGCGCACAAGAAAATCATCAGAAAAAAACACTCGTCCACTTGCAAAGTTTACATACATACCACTCGATTCATATGCATTAACATATCTGACACCTAAACTTCAATTTTTAAATATGTGCCAACTTACTTATGCATGAAAAAGTGTATTTCATTTTTAAAAGTTAAAATAGTGGTGTTTTTATGTGATATGAAACATTTGGGTTAGATATGTAAATATATAGGAATCGAGCGTTATATTTGTAATTGCCCTTAAAATGTATTGCCTTTCATGTCCATCCTCATTGCTAAACAGTATATGAATACTAATAAAATACAATACATTAGAACAATAGGCAACAAGGAATTTAACTTGTAAAATGCAAGTCAAATATGACAGATTATAGAAGACATCGCCAACTAAAAATCATATAACCAGGGGTCCAGCATAGTTTATTTTTCCATAGAAAACAACCTGGATAGCTGCCAACTGAATGTGGAAGTTAAAAAAGCATCATTTTTTGAAAGAATAGGCATACTACTAAGAAAGTTTTCAATAAAATACAGAGATAGAATGCCATGTAAGGACCACGCTAAAATAAGCAACATACATCCTTATCATGCATTATATTACACATGAAACACGCAAATAAATATGTGGCATTTCTAAATTAATATAAATGATAAAATTCATCAAATATTCTGAAAATTCATACTGCTCAGGTTTGTTTTTAACAGAATCAAGCTCGCAAGAAATTTAGTATTCAACAGCTAAGATGACTCAATATCAGTAAGTTTGCTTCATCACCAAAACCATAGATTTTCAAGCAAGGCAACCATTAGATCGAGTGAGGATGGATTCAAATAGTAGGCCCATCCAAGTTAAAAAGGTCATGGATGTGCTGTTAGATGAATTTGATCCACCAAATGAAAGAGATTATGTTTTCTTTAGTTCGATTTTTAAGAAATATCTTAAAGAAAAATTTAATAGAAAAAAATTAAAAAATAGAGTTCTAAATAATAATAATAATAATAAATCGACTCTATAAAATTGTTTCAAACATTGAATCACATAAATAAATAAAATGCAAATATTATTTATATAAATAACATAACTGCGGCCATGTTTGATTTCGTTTATCTTCAATTTTGAAATTTTATAAACCTTTTTCACTCTCCAATTGATGGTGTATCTCTTCTTAAAAAGAGAATAGGATTAGGGACCCAAAACCTTAATAAATTCACTTATATTTCTGCCCATCACAGAAATTTACAGAAAAAAATGAAACTCTAAAACAATGTGATAAACCATTTCTACGTTATTTAATTTTTAAATATAATTGGCCTATTATTACTAAATCGAAAAAACCAAAATGTACGACACTATAGCACGGTGAGATAAAGTTATCTAGTTTTGAGTTTGGTAACAGTAAATATCATGATGTTACCCACAGAGGCGGAAGCGTTAATGAAGGGATCACGAGATCCCATTTTCGTGGAATTCTATAGTCTGCAGGTTCCCCGGGATCGCAGACAACCCCTAATAGGGCAACCGACTTTCAATTATTTGCTTTTTTTCCCTTTTACGATTTCCTTCCTATTTTCTTATTTCTACCTAAGTTATTTTCTATTAAGGAACTATTTATAACTTGTTACTTTTGTTTGATTTTGTGTTTGTTGGAGGATGTAATATGTGTTGTCTATCTTAAGAAGTATTGTATCATCTTCCTTTTGCAAGTAGCGTATCTATAGCTTCTGCAGTAACATGTGGTGAATCTCCTCGTCATTCTTACATTATTCAGAGCACTCTTCACTATTTTCAGCTGGGACAGCCAACAAATGATTCTTATTCCCATCCAAACATCATTGAGCTTGCATATTATCATTCCCTTGGCATTCCACAACCACGGCGCCGCTAAATCTGCTTCCTAAAGACCGTCTAAGAGCCCTAGAACGGTATCACCCACCCAAATCCCAAACTAATGATAATCCGCACTAAATTTTATAGCTAGTGCACCAATTACTACAACACATAGAAAACTCAATCGAGATTCCAGCCTGACGGCAATCAGCACACCACCTCTAATGTAGTGCCAAAAAAAATAGAAGATTAAAAAAAAAAAAAGTATATGGATCCCAACAAAAGGGACAAACCTGTGAGATTATTCATTACAGTTCAACCTAAAGTTGTAAATATGTGACTTGTGCTTTAATGCCACCTGTAGCCCAACATATTTTGTTATTGTTGCAGGAGAGTCGGACCACTACTTGGTGCTCTGCCACATGCGATGAACATCCTAATACATAGGAAAGTTCTCTAATTTCCTACTTGCACATTTGTGATTTCAAAGCACGCATCATATACACAACCTAAAGAAGCACTAGCTTCTATAGTTCAATGATTAAACCAGCAGATCTTTTAATAAATAAAATGATTTTGGTGGAACATAAAATTTAACTTTACCCTTTAAATGATCATATTAACTGCAATATGAAAAAAAGCTAGATGTCAGATGGAAAAAAATGACCTGGAATAAAAAAACGTTAGCTTTATAGTGTAGTTTAAAAGGAGATAAATTAAAGAAACATAAATTAACTTTAACTGGAATAATGTAACCGATACGTTCAATGGAAAACTAACCTTTTTTCTAGCTTCAAATTCATTCCTCTCCGCTTCAAGTGCTTGATGTTTTTGCTCTAATTTTGAGTAGAACTGCCAAAACAGAAATAGAAATGGCTTGGGTGAGCTTAAAGGTAACAAAAAGCATCATATGATGAACAAGGTTAATGATTAAACTACCTCTTTACGTTTCTCAGCCCGTTCACTGCATCTGAAAGTAGGTATGGATGCAACTGTGGTTCTACTTTTAAATGCCCTCAAAGAAGCAGAAGTACTATGCATGGTTCAGGGAAAACTACCAACGTTTACAGAAAATAATTGACATGACAAAACCAGATCAATACAATCCCAAAAGGATACGATGAAGCGATAGAGCAAGCATCCTCTTCATCAACATGCTTTGCATTTTCAGGCTGAAGGGGTTTCCTTGAATCAATATATGACTTAACCTACAGTAGATCACAAAATAAGCACTTCCGGATCAGTAATGCATTTCTCTTAGCCTAAAAAACATATAAAAATGTGTCATATCAAAAATGAAAATAATCTTCTCTGGTGCAGAATATCACCATCTATGAATGACTCTAATGCATTCGGATATAACATATCATGCCCAACATCTATGGTCTGTCAGCTAACATGAGATAGATCATAGTCTCATAGCAAATACAATGAAAGTTGTAATTTAATAGTTCATAGTTTCATAGCAAATACAATGAAAGTTGTAATTTTTCCGATTAAAATCCAAATATAGAATCGCATCAACAGGTAGTAGGAGAAGATTTGAACAACCGAGATAAGCAAAGAAAGAACGAGGTTTATCTAATCAAGAAAATTATTATAGTTCCAGTTGTCTCAATACAACAAACAAAAAAGGACATTTTTTTAAGGATGAGGTTTCTTTTAGCACTCAGATTCTAACAAAACAAAATATTACAATAAACCTCGTTCTTTCTTTGCTTATCTCGGTTGGGGGGAGGAACAACCGAGATAAGCAAAGAAAGAACGAGGTTTATCTAATCAAGAAAACTATTATAGTTCCAGTTGTCTCAATCCAACAAACAAAAAAGGACATTTTTTTAAGGATGAGGTTTCTTTTAGCACTCAGATTCTAACAAAACAAAATAGAGACCTTAATATAAAATAAATTTAAGGTGAGAGAAATAAAGTAAATGATGATTGAACCTGAGTCTTCTTCACATTATCTGGCAACTCATCAAGGTTCAAATTTGAAAGCTTTTTCTGCTCACTTGGACAAGCACGCTTCTCAGTAGCGAGGGCAATTGGTTGAGAAACAGTGTGATTGGAATGTACACTATGATTACCAGTTTTAGCAGTAAACTGCAAAGAGTCTAGAATTGTATCCTGCTCAGATGACTCCGTCACATTGTCCAATGTCTCCTTCAGAGTCCCATCTTCAATGCTAAGATTTTGCATATTTGCTGCTTCATTATCTTGTAGAAACTTTTCATGTGGAGACACACGGACTCCAATAGGAGAGGCTGCACTGCTTTCCTTTTCTCCATATTCTGAATTTGTAATTCTAACATAAGCTTTTCGATCAGGACTCCCTTCCATAGCTCCATGAGATATGGATGTTTCACATGGCAGGGATGATTGATCATCCGTACACTTGAGGTTACCAAGGGAAGAGCAAATAACATTGTCCTCTGACTCTTCATATGTAGGCATGGCCAAAGTTTCCTTTTGAATCAAGCTACAAAAGCCATGGAGGAGAAGTTAGAATGTCTAAGCTTGAAACCTGTGAATTTCACATGCTAAGATTAATGGAGATGGTAAATAAATAAATAAACCCATAAAATAGTAATCCGATTTGAAAACTTCTAGATTCCTAGACATGTCAATCTAGGACTTTCTGAATACAATCTGAATACTTTGACTTAAATACTTAATCCTCTGATATTTACATTGCCATTTGATTGAAGGGTTAAACAGCTTATTCAACAACTATTATTGTTCACACTTTTCTCATTAGCATATCATCACAGCAACATACTATAGAAACGCTAATTCAAACCACATCAGCAAAGGAATGGGGGAAAAAAAAACACAGATCCATTAAAACAGTCACGAAACAAAGGAATAAAAGCCAAGCCAAATAATAGACGGACAATCTTGCAAGTACATCATAATGGATGGATAAATGAAGCTTTATTAAATGTAAAGAACGCATAGAGACACGCTTCTAGCAATATATCGTGAAAAGCAAGAGCCGAACGCTATGGATATCTGAGTTTTCAAAGAAACCATATAAATGTATGAAAGTAAGCATAGCCCTATGCTTAAAACTCACAATAAATTGCAAGTTGAATTATTCATAGAAATACAAAGAAAGGTGTAAGAAAATGTATAGCAAAAGGTCATACAGAGTTACAAACTAAGTCAGCGGAACCATATGGACGGATGAAAGTGAGCTTGGATATTTGCATAATAACATGCATGCGCCAAATCAAAAAAATTTGAAGCTCCAGAAAATCCTACGAAAACACAGTTAAAAGCTAATAAACCAACGTCTAAAGATTATTGATTAGCTTAAACTTAAGCATAATGACGATTAAAGTTAAAAATACCAACTAGAAGAATAAAAAAACGCTTTCTCAAACAAGAAGTGGAATAAATAAACAACGTAGATAAAATAAATATAATATACGGTCTTCAGGATTAAATGAGAGGAACAATATCAAGCTTTCAGATTTCACCACCAAAACAATTAATCTCATCAGCAAACAAGCAAAAACTCAAATCAAGCATACGAAAAAGAAAAAAAACGGGAATCGAGCTCCACCGTGCAATTCATTATCTTACACAAACGAATACCTTCGCCGGAGAAACAATACACATTACAAAAGGAAACGAGCTTTATTAACCAAAACAACTCAAATGCAGAAAAAAAACATCATAAACCAGGCGAGCAAACACTCGATCTGCATTCTGAAACGATCAATACCCTAATCCGTACAAAAAAACTAGACGGAAGCGATAAGCCTGAAAGCCCCTCCCCTCTCAATCGCCCATTCAACCAACACAATGATGTCCAATCAGACAAAGCAGAACAACATTCCGCTGCAAATAAACTCAACCATCTTTGTACAACAGAAAACCAAACAGATCGGAGAGAAAGGAAACAATGCCAGTAATTTCTCACCCTTTTCGGCTACCCTGGATCTCAGAAAAGCTCGATTTCTTGCAAGGGATTCGGATCGGAACTAGTATTCCCCGATTCCTCAGCCCTTATATCTTTTCCCCTCTAGGCTGGGCTGAGCCTCTTTGTCCTCCTCCTCCACCGGCGTGCCCGCTTTTCCTCGGTTCTCCGTTCATCGCGGACACAACCGACACCGTTAAATCGTTTATATAGGAGAGCTCAGTGACTAACGACGTTAAGGAAAACGGAGCGATGGGGCATTTAAGAGAAGAAGCCCTAGCTTTCCGGTTATTTCGTGACTTGGGGCGGATCGTGGGTTCGAGTCATCTTGATGTACTGCTGATTTCGGTGAGCTTATCCTGCGACAGCTGGCCGTTTATTCCGCGTTGGCCTTCGTTGGCGAGGCTGAGGGCCGCAGAATTATGCGTGGGAGGTGACCGGAACTTGACTCTACCGCCGGTGAGGAAACTTGAATCCGATTGATAATGGCTCCTAACCAAAATGTTATGCTGAAATTGGAGATTAGTGCTGAAAAATGTGAGTTTAAGTCTTCGCAGACAAAATAATTAAGTAAATAAATAAATTTGATATAATTTTAATTGTAGTGGACTCCCGCAACTAGGGCTATAAATTAGCCGAGCATGAGCGAATTCAGACTTATCAAGTGTCTGACTCATTAAAAAGTATCACAGTTCATGTTTAACTTGTTTATATTTCAAACAAAAAAGTGTGTCTGTATTTGACTTGTTTGTCTAGCGAGACAAACACGAGTTGTTAATAAATAAGAAATCGTTTTGATAACTCTAATCACACAGTCTTAGGATGTTAAGAGTTGGGGTAAGAATTAAACATTATTGTTCGTATTAAAACATCATTTAAATATAATTTAATATTTTTTTTATTTTTTTTAATTAATAACTTTAGTTGATTATAAATCTTTGTAGCCTTCTAATCAATTAAATTTTTTTAAAAAGACTACTGATCAAAATATATACAAGCTAAAACAAGTTGTATATAAGGGTGTAAACGAGTCAAACACGAGACGAACGAGCTCAGGCTTAGCTTAGCTCGTGTTCGGCTCGTTTATAATTCGAGCTCAAAAAATGTGTTTGTGTTCGACTCGTTTGCTTAGCGAGCCGAACACGAGCCGTTCTTGAACAAAGAGTCGTTTTGAAAACCCTAATCACGTAGCAATAAGATGTTAAAGATTGGGACAGTATTTAAAACATCATTTGAATCTAATTTAATACTTTTAATTGATTATAAATCTTTGTAGCCTTGTTCAAAAATACATAATTAGATGTTAATGGTTAATCAGTGATATCTATTGGTGTTAGTTAGCTGGTTGTAGTTTGATAATGTTGGTTTGGTAACAACCATTTGTCAATGGAGGTCTAGCAGAGACGTTCTGATATCAAATGTTGAATGGCGGCAACAACCCAAGCAGTTACTCGATAACAATGAATGAAAGGTGGCAATGTGATGGCAACACTCATCCGATGATAATTAAACCACATAGGTCCAATGATGATGGATCAAGGTTCGCTAGCGATGATCGTGTAGCATTAAATTGATGATGATGATAACAACGACAACATTCTTACGGTAGTCATGCGATGATCTTACAGAATCTCTAAGTTCTCTTCAAACTAAAGTCCTCTTCCTCCCTTGTATAGAGAATGTAAATTATAAGTGTAAATGAGTCAAGTTGAGCATGAGAGGCCCGTAACATAAGCTTGAGCCTCATTAATTAATCTAGTTTTAGCTCAAACATGGGTTTAATTATATGATTTCAAGTAGTTCATGAACTGGCAGCTTTATTATGAAAGAGGTAAAATGTGTTTGATTATTATAGTCATTGTAATGAAATGACAAAAAAATATTTAAACTATTAGAAGAAATGATTAAAACAAAACTATTTACTGTAAAGAAGTAATGCATAATTTTTAAACATTTTAAGCAATTGTAGTTATACGACACCAACAAAATTTCATCATTCGACATGATTCTTGAAGCAAGGCGTGAATCCCGATGTAATTTTATGAATAAGAAAAGTTCAAACTTCAATTAAAAATAAACCAAAACTCTGATTTCAGCAAACTTAAAATTAAACTGGCCAGCTCGACAAGACAGACCCAATGACACCAAACTTGACCCAGTATCCAAATCAAATCAAGTGTATATCGAACCATTAAAGTATTTTTGAAGGCTTCTGGTGCCAAATGGAAGGTCGAATAAATTTTAAATCACACAAGCTTATGGTTAAATCGAGCACATCAATGAGACAAGTCTAACAAGTCTATAATCACCCAATTGTAGCATCTTAAGACACTTAAAGGTTCATAAAATGTCATTCGATCGTGGGAACTTCACTGGGCCGTCCAATGGAATGACCAAAATCCTTCATCATTTGCAGGGGAGACACTCCCTGACTATAAATAGAGTCAGGCCCCATTCATGAATGGAAACCTTGTCCTTAAAAATGAAAAAGAGTTAGCTCTGAAGCTGGTTTGCAAAGAATGAGCTGAATTTCAATGTTGTTCTTGACCTAAATCCAGATATACGCTTCCCCGCTACTGCAGACACCGACCATCTTTGTTCACCGCTCGACAGCCGCTATCGACCACTGTGGTTGATCCCTGCTCATTGCGGCAAAGCCGTCAAGAGTTGACGTGTGTGTAGCATAGTAATGAAGCATTGTGTGGAGTAACAACTAATGCCAAAAAATAATGAAGTGTACAACTTACCAATGTTTATGCTTCTTTATTTTTTTTATTTTTGAAGGAGTTTTCGGCTTGTATATCGTTACATAATTCCTTTTCCGAATAAGTCTCTTTTTCTGATCATAAGAATGATCCGCAGGAGGAATGGACCGAAAAAACAGGGGCATACGATGAAGAAGATAAACAAAGAGAAAGAGAATAAAGACAACATGTGTACCATAAATCTCTCAAGGATATGTCAAGAATGTTCACTCAAACAATATCATGTGAAGACACCTTGGACCAATATCCACGAAAGAATGCCTACATGAACTACCCCTAACCAAAGATTTAGGTGTTTTGTGTGTTCTGTAGTCTAGAATGCTCCCAATGCAACGTATCCCACTTTATTAATTACATATTAGGGGTTGCCCAAGAATACTCTTGATCCAAATGAGTTTTGTTTACATTACTAGTGAAAACTAGCATAGAGCTATCAAATGACAGTTATTTCACATGATAATGCTCTGATGCTTTAAAGCTTCCGCTAAGCAACTAAGCAGAGAGTGAGTCTCTCATGGTCCTCACATGGGTAATGAACTTATCGACATATGGAGCGTGCAAAATAATTAAATCGTCCCTAGGAGAAATCTCGATATGTTAAAGAACATCAGGGTTATATGGGGAAAAGGTAAATCATCATATCTCAAACAGCCGACAACTCATCGGTAATCAAGTCATCGAGGTGATACTAATGAAAGCAAATGGAGTGATAAGGTTCAATAGGGGTCAAAGGAAGGGAGAATTAATCCCTGAAAGGTAGAGGTAGTCGGGTAGGGGTACCACGGGCCTATCATCCTAAGCCACCAGAATCCTAAATCTATCAGGTCATAAAGGTAGTCGACCCAACAAATCCTGAGATCTCCGCTCAACAATTACTGAATTTTATCATCCACGGGAACCTCGATAGCTCTAAGGTCAAAGGAACAAAAATCTATCATATGACTACTAGGTGGAGCTCCAAGTGGCAAAAATTATATCGGGAAGTGGTGAAAATGCTGCTGGAAAGGAAGAGAAATGGTTGTTTAGCTATAAAGCTCGAAACACTCCCAACAAAAGAACTTACACCCCGCCTGGGTCAGGGAGCCTTCTAATTACCTAAGTGTGCTAGACAACCACATAAGTCAAAATTTATGTTGGGTCAGTCAGGTTAGAGAAACACAAAGGCTTCTCCTTGGGACATACAAATGATGCACTTGTCTACCACAATCCTAAGTGTAGAGACTCTATTAGTATGACTTGGGATATGTTTATGCTATGCAACCTATTTTAAAATCGGCTAGAATATTATGCATGAAAGTAAAATACTTAAAATCTTGAATGTTTTAATCCTAAATTTTAATTAGGCCTAAAATTTTATGAAGAAATTGTAAAAAAAAAAATTATAATTTTAGGTCCTCATAGAGCTTAAATGAACTGCATGATTCCCAAACAACCCACAAAGTAAAAAAAAACAGAGGAAAAAATCAATTCAAGCCAAATATGGATGATTAAAAGGTCGGTGTCGCAGTGTCGCTAGGTCGACAACATATCCAAAAATAGAGAATGACAGCCATGCACCACATAAGTAAAGGTTTGATTCTAAATCTATACATAAATGACATTTATAATTAAGGCACTGGACACGAGAAAACAACTACGGGTCCCCATCATGTGGTTTCGCTCGTTTGGTGTCTCGGAACTCATGTTCGTACATTATTTTTAATACAAGACTCTCTTAGGATTCTAAGAAGTACATAAGGAAAGTAAGACGAGGCTCAATCTGCATGAAAACAGTGTTAGTAGGAAAGCTAACAAACATGCAACGCATTTGAGCCATGTCAGACATGATGAGCAAAGCAACACCTAAAAAAAGGGTTAGTATATAAATCATTACATTATCCCCCCTATTAAATTTGTGGTGTGTATTTTAAACATGGCTCATGCATATTAAAACGGTAAGCATGCAAGTACACAAAAAGCACAAATGATGATTCTTGGCTAAGGCAACTAAACCAACACAGAACTATAGTGAGGACATCGAAAAATAGTACCTAGTATTTTAATCCATAGCGTAGCAGACCATCTAACGTAGTGTCCTAACACAACATCTAAGTGAGTGCACGGTTATGTTATAAGATTAACATATTTTTTTACAGGGTCGTCATCACCAGCCCCATACTAAGGATCCAAGAATTTTAATAAGTGCCACTAGTTGCAGGTTTTAAAAAGCTTTTGAAAGATTGATCTCATATACGGTCTAAGATAAATATCCAAGTAACTTCAAAATAGATTTTCAAAAAATGATGTGTATAAGTAATAAAATATAGAATTTTATACTTTCAAAGTAGTTCATAGGTAATATAAGGTCTAAGTGACACATATTAGACCCCTTGGAACCTTATCAAAACATACGGTGTTAATCACAACATGCTAGCTAGTATTGCCCCACCAAGGCATCCTTGTGGGCAATACTTGCTACCCCTTTGTGACCAACAATGAGTCACTCATCTAACGAGTCAGATTCGTCG